CGCTCTGTCACCCAGGCTGGAGTGCAGTGGCATGATCTCAGCTCACTGCAAGCTCTGTCTCCTGGGTTCGAGCAATTCTCCTGCCTCAGCCTCCCAAGTAGCTGGGATTACAGGTGCCCACCACCATGCCCGGCTAATTTTTTTTTTTTTTTTTTTTTTTTGGATTTTTCGTAGAGACGGGGTTTCACCATATTGGCCAGGCTGGTCTCAAACTCCTGACATTGTGATCCACCTGCCTGGGCCTCCCAAAGTTCTGGGATTACAGGCATGAGCCACCGCGCCCAGCCAGCTTATTGTTTTTAATGTCATGGTCTTCATCTCCCGTGTTGGTTTCCCTAAATTGTTGGTGTTTGTCTTAGAGGTCCAGAGATAAGGGGTTGTTTCCCTGCCTATGGTGTTATTTATTGGGAGGTGCGTGATGGTGGCAAAGTCAAGAAGTTACTGTGTTCTGTTCCCCCAGCACTGAGGCAAAGTCTCTTGTATTTTCCCATGGTGAAACCCCATCTCTACTAAAAATGCAAAAATTAGCCAGACATGGTGGCGGGCATCTGTAATCCCAACTACTTGGGAGGCTGAGGCAGGAGAATCACTTTAACCCAGTGGGTGGAGGTTGCAGTGAGCTAAGACCACGCCACTTCACTCCAGCCTGGGTGAAAGTGCGAAACTCCGTCTCAATAAAAATAAAAACAAAAAGAATAAGCCACTGCTCACTTTGGCAGCACGTGTACTAGAATTGGAATGATACAGACAAGGTTAACATGGGCCCTGAGAAATTAAAAGCATTGAAAAACAAAGCAACGATAAACCAACAAACTCAAGTGACCTTTTTTTTTTTTTAGTGGTTGGAGAGATGGATTTAACAGAGGGAGAGCAAAAGCGGATGGTCCAACAGTGAGCACAGAGGCTAAACTCCCCTGCCTGCCAAGCAAGGCACCTAGGTATGAAAGTTAAGTGAGGCCAGGCACGGTGGCTCATGCCTGTAATCCCAGCACTTTGGGAGGCTGAGGCAGGCGGATCATTTGAGGTCAGGAGTTCGAGACCAGCCTGACCAACATGGTGAAACCCTGTCTCTACTAAAAATACAAAAATTAGCCGGGCGTGGTGGCGGGCACCTATAATTCCAGATACTCAGGAGGCTAAGACAGGAAGGAGAATTGCTTGAACCCAGGAGGCAGAGGTTGCAGTGAGCTGAGATTGTGCCGCTGCACTCCAGCCTGGGCGACAGAGCGAGACTCCATCTCTGAATGAATGAATGAATGAATCAATCAATCAATCAATCAATCAATATAATTTTTAAAAATAGAAATAAAGGAATAACCTACAGATTACCAATCAATCAATCAATATAATTTTTAAAAATAGAAATAAAGGAATAACCTACAGATTACCAAGAGGACAGACAGAAAGCCCCTGAAAGCATAAGCAGTCGACCAGTTAAGGTCTGTTATTCTTTGGTAACATGGAACTCTCAAAACTAGAAAACAAGCCAGCAGAGACATCTCAGAATGGCAGGGGTCCTTGGTCTAAGACCCTAACTCATGGGTCAACCTTCTAACTCAGTACTTCTCAACTGGGAGCAGCCGGCAATGCCTGGAGACATCTTGGTGGTCACACCTGGGGCGGAAGTGTTACTGGCATCGGTGGGCAGAGGCCAGGGATGCTACTCACTATCCCACAGTGCACTGCACAGCCCCCACAGACCCATCAATAATAGTGCTGAGGTTAGCCATGTGCCCATCTGTGAAGCAATCACTGAGAATCTGAAAAACTCTGGACTGAAAAAACTCTAGACTCTGAGTCCTGCCATTACCAAGACGTGTTTTTCCAAAGCCACATCTGGTGATGTGTTTGCATGGGGCCATCCATACTCTCTACCCCTTTCAGGACCTTCCTCCAAAATTGTCCACAAGGAAAGAGTTGACCATGAGTCCCAGATTCTAAAATGGAAGCCTAGCTAAGTGACTTGGGACAAGTCACTTGGAGCCTCAGTTTCCCTGCCTGACAAGGGGGTCACTGCATCCACTGGGCCCCTTCACATACCAGGCAGGAAGGGAGTTCCCAGACCTGGAGAAGTCAGGAAATGAACACGATCCAGGCCTGGGGAACCGAACTAAGCTATGAGCTCAAGCACATCTCCACCAGGGATGGCAACCTAGTGGCCACTACCCCAGAGACCCCAGTGGGGAGGACACCCCACACCCACGAAAGGACGCTGCCTGTTTACTTGTCCAGCAGGGCACCTTCCTATAACAGCACCCACCTTTCCCCTGGGAAACTACTCATCTTCTTCTCCCACCACCCACATGGCTGTCCCTCCACTTCCCAGGGCCACAGACTGAGCGCACAGCATGGGGCTGTCCAAGCAGCTTCTCAGTGATTGGTTCACAAATGGGCATTCAACCAATCCCAGCCAATGAGGACTAACCCAGAATGTCGGCTGAAGTACTGGGAAAAAGAAACTCTCGGCCAGGCACAGTGGCGCACGCCTGTAATCACAGCTACTTGGGAGGCTGAGGCAGGAGAATCACTTGAACCCAGGAGACGGAGGCTGCAGTGAGCCGAGATCACGCCATTGCTTTCCAGCCTGGGTGACAGAATGAAAGACTCCATTTCAAAAAAAAAAAAAAAAAGAGAAACTCTCCTTCAGCCAGGGTGGCACAGCCAGCAGGAAGCAAGGTTGGAGAATATAAGCCTGGCACTGTTGGTGGAGGGGACAGTCACCCTAAGAGTGACACCAATCCAGAGGAAGGCAGAATTTAGAGGGAAAAAAACAGATGCCCCAAAACACCCTTTGACCCCTGGATCCAGTGATGCCTGAAACAACTCCCAGTCCTGTCTTTTTCCACTGAGATTGCCATTCTCTGCTTCAGCCTGTTTTGAGTTGGGCTTCTGTCCCTCAGAACCAGAGCAGCCCACGGGCTGCAGCCGCACCTACCTCTGGAGTGTGAGCTTCAAGTCCTTGAGGTGCTTCTTCTGCTTACTGATGGAACTGCTACACAGCGTCTGCAGCGCAGCCAGCTCCTCCAGCTTCTGCTTGTAGATCCTGTGCGTCTCCTGGAGGACAGGGGACCCCGGGGGAAGGTGTGCGGGAGAATGTGAACAGGTCATTTTCTTTTCTTTTTGACAGAGTCTCGCTCTGTCACCCAGGCTGGAGTGCAGTGGCATGATCTCAGCTCACTGCAAGCTCTGTCTCCTGGGTTCGAGCAATTCTCCTGCCTCAGCCTCCC